AGGCTTAAGGTTTTTCTTACCGTTTAGAGGTTAAGAGCTTATGCTTCCGTTTAAAGGCTAGGGACTTATCTTTCCGTATTACTAACAGAGCCGTGAGGATTCGCCAGAGGACGTATTAATAGTACGCCGTTTCTATTTATTTAAAGACTATCGTTTATCCTTTCGTTTAAAGGCTAAGGACTTATCCGTTCGTTAATAAAGTCCTTCGAACTCTGTTTAAAGACGTATTAAGACGCGCTTTCCTATTTATTACTAACGCCTTTAACGCCTTTATCAAAGTATTATTATTTTAATTAAATCATCATTTCGTTATTATTCTAACGCCGTTCCTTCTTTATATCGCGCCTCGAGCGTTTTTAATTCTTCGTTAAGCGTTATATTTTAACGCTTTACTATCTTTCTTTAAGAAAAAGTTTTTCCGCCTTTTTAAGCCGTCGATTTCGTTATTCTTATCTCGAAATTACCGTCTAAACTACGTTTTCTCAGGTTATCGGTCGTTTCTTAGTTATCTTTATCGGTCTTCGTTCGTAATTACTACCGGCGTGTATGTCTAAAAGCTGATACCGCCTTTCCCACTGCTGACTTAGCTATAGGTATTAGTATCGCCTTTCCTACTATTGATTCCGCTCGTTAAGATATTGGTCCGTTGCTATCTCCTGTCGGTCCTCTCTCGTAGGTACTGCCGGCGCGTATATCTAATAACTAATACCGCCTTTCCGACTGCTGGCTTAGTACCGCTTCTCTAGGAGTTCCTTAGCCGTTCCTATTATTAATTCCGCTCGCTTTAATACTAATCTATAAAACGATTAAAAGAAGGTTAGTCTAGCTTTTTATTACGGTTTTACGAGCTATTCGTTAGGTAAAAGCCGTATATTAATAAACTAAAGCTAGACGAGGAGAAAAAGGAAAAAAAGGTACGTCGTATAGGCCGTACTTATAATAGCTAGCCTTATCCTCTATAGATACTGAGGGCCTAATTACGTGCTATGCCCTGGCACTAGCCAGGGCCCTATAATGAGCATAGCCTATTACAAAAATATAGCTTTCTCTAGAAGCTATCTAAGACTTCGAAAAGATAAAATGATTAATTACGTCGGACCTAGTTTATAAACTACCTAATTTAAGAAAAAGCGAATAAAGCTTAACGCTTTAAATACGGCTTTAAGAGGAACTATAGAATAATTAAAAGATGATAGAATCTAGTATTTAATTACTTATTATTTCTCGATACTTAAAGAAATAGAGTTACAATACCTTTTATACGATAAGAAGCTAATAGTAATAATTAAAGAATTTAAAAAATAAGAATAATACTTATTGTGACTATTAAAATAAATAAAGGTATACTTAAATTACGATAATCTTAAAACTTTAATAACGATAAAAGTATTAAGCCTTAAATAATAGAGATAAAAGGAGTACTATAGTAGTGCAGTGGATCTAGGCTACGTAGCTTTTGAATATATATTTATATAGGTTTCGTACTTATATTTTCATTAGTTAGACTTAGACTTAAAGGTATTATAATCTAACAGCTCTATTTATTCGTTTTTTACTATGCCTTTCTAGCCTCATTTTTTCATACTTCCCTTTCTTTTTAATTCTTTTTCTACCTGCCGTTTTTAACTAGCTAATTAATTAATTAATTATTTATAGCTATAATTTAGTTTAATCAGTATTAAGTTAGTTATTAATAATTAAGTAGCCGTTTTCGTACCTTTATTATAGCGTACCTACGTTACTTCTATTTAATGGTAATCACCTAATAACTCGACCTTACCTTATCTTAAGAGTAACCTTTTATAACCGCTTTATAGTTAATAGGTTTAGGATACGTTGATTAGAAGATCCCTAGTATCTTGTTTAATCAGGAGCTATTTTCGTAGCTCTAGAGCCGTTTTCGTAGCTTTTAGTTTAAATTTTCAGGTAGCAGGATCAACGGAAGGATTAGCTTTTAATCAGCTTACCGAAAAGCTCGTCCGCCGATTAGGAGATCTACCTTATCCTCGTTTCTCAGTTATCTCTTTTAAAGGAGCTATACTCGTTTTTACCCAGTTTTGCCTTCGTTTTCAACAAGTATCTAGATAACGGGTTTCAACCAACTACGTCACCGCCACCCCTCCCTTTTTACAACATGCGCTTAAAGGTATCTGTTCGTTATCGATCAGTCTATTTCAACCGCAAGAGGCTTGCCATTTCGATTACCCTTATTTATCCCAACCAGTTACGGTACCTGGGAAGGTTTCTCCCTAACCGACAGGTACCACGATGCCTTTACAAGAAGATACGGACACTCCTTCGCTACGAACCTGATCGGGGACCTACTGATTAGCGCAAAAGACTTATACAAACGATACCGCGATACGAAATAGATACGATATTGAATAAGATAGCCTAGGAATAGTTACAGGATAGGAACAGTTATAGGATAATGCCCAGAGACTCCTCTTATTGCCCTTACCGATATGTGGTTAGTAGGAAGAGCCGTAATGAGCTCCTAGATCCACGTATAGAGGAGGGATCAAGGGTTAAGGGAAGCCTGGTAGATACTGCCGGACGTATAGGAACAGTTACATAGAAACAGTTACATAGGAACAGTCAGGAACGGGCATTAAATAGGATATATTAGTTAGTTTATAAGATTAAAATTAATTAAAAGGATCGGTAATAACCATAGACGAGAAGGGCGGAGATTACGTTATATCATACAGGATTATTTCTTTTATTTCTTACGGGAGCTACGCTTATTTTACCTACCTCGTTACAGTTCCTGTTTTCTAACTATTAATCCCTATTATTTCTTGGTAGCCCTTCAATAGAACTGGCTCGCTCTTAGTTAATTAAGGTTAATCAGGAACAGGTCGATCAGGTTAGTTTATAGGTTATAGTTCTGCCAGCTTAGTTATTCTTATTAATTAATCTTTCCTATTATTTTCTATTGATCGCTAATTAAACTGGCTCGGCTTCTAATTAGTAGCGATTGAATAGGTTCGGGATTAATCAGGATCAGGTACAGTTAGGCACGGCTGCAGTCAGTCACCCACCCCACCACCCACTTGTTGCTGTTGTAATCGCTCACAGTTGGCCCTATTTCCTAACTTATCCTGTTGGTCTTTAATTAAACTGGCTAGCTTTTAATTAATTAGAGTTAATCGGGATTAGGTTCAGGTTCAATAAGAACGAGAGCCACTGTACCTATTATTAAAAGCTCAATTGCTTCTTATAGAACAATTAAACTAGGGAGGCTATAGTAGTACGGTAGATCTAGGCTACGTAGCCTTTTAGATATATATTTATATGGGTCTCGTACTTATATTTTCATTAGTTAGACTTGGACCTATAGCTATTACTAGTTATAGCATTTACTCCTTTTGATATGCCTCCTTAAAGCCTCTTTTTTATCCATTTTTCTAGTCCTTTCTAAGCTACCGTTTTTAGCTAGCCGATTAACTAATTAGTTATTTATAGCTATGATTTAGCTTAATTAGTACTAGGCTAGTTATTAGTAGTTAGACAGTTCTTTTCGTACCTCTATTATAGCGTACCTACGCTGCTCCTATTTAATAATCGCTTTTGAAAAAGATTCGATTATTTTCACAGAGAGTTACTTCCGGGGTTTTCGAAACTACTTTTAAAGATACCTGATTAACTTTCCGATCGTAGGTTTTTAAAGTCCCTGAGAGGCGTTACTTCCGGATAGTAGACCGCCTTACTTTATTGGAAGTTATTCCCGGGGCGTTTTCGTTGCTTTCTTACCGGTTACTTTAAAGCTCGTTTTATACAGGTAGTAAGGTACAGTAGGAGAGCTTCCGTTCTTTGAAAAAAAAAATTTTTTAAATATCTCTCGATCTCGTTCTTAAAAAATAAACGACGGCGAGCTACGACGATAGCTTGCCCTTAGGAAACGAGCGAGAAAGAGAGCCTTTTTGTTGTTATATGAATATTCTTACGCCGTTTAGAGCTATTAGTAATACCCCTAAGAGCTTTACTTATTAAGAGGTACTTTTAGGGAACTCCTTTCCCGTTTCGGGGACCCCCTGTCCCGCGCTTTTCCTTAGGTTTCGAAGCTTTTTTTGGATAGTTACGCTAGCTTTATTAGTAGGGTCGTATAACGAAAGAGCTACTACCTGGGAGCTAATAAGCTTAGTAACTATATCCTTTTCATTCTTCATATCCTGTCATAGTTAATTAGACTTTAAATAAAAGTAAATTTACAAAAGAGAGGCCTAATTTATCAGAGAGTAACGGACGCCGTTTAACCTGCCGGGTTTGTATTAAAGCGACCTACCTAGCGCCTTACCTACTGGGCTCGTAAGAGAAGCGACTTGTCTAGTATCGATACTCCTGGGCTCGTATATATACGAGAGCGACTTACTTAGAAGAATTTCCTGACGTTTTACAGGAGTTAATAGTTCGACGGCGAGCTATCTTTCTTTTATTATTAGTTTTCAAAGTAGCTTCCCTATATCTCCTATATAGATAAACATAGCTCTCTTGCTCTATGTAAGAAAGTAGTTAACGCTGTTATACGCCGTCGATTAAGGGGTATGTTACGTAGAGGTTATACTTTAGGTTGGTTACTTTCGTTGCTTATTTTAGTAATAGGAGCTCTTATATATACGTTTCCGTTATTTTCTTTTTTTTAGCTAGTTTTTAAATTGAATAAAACCTTTTTCCCTCCCTTTACTCCTTCTCCCGTTACTCGCCGCTTGTAAGATAGCTCCTCACGCGCGCTCTCGCGTATACATAGCTCCCTAGCTACGTAATAAGTAAAATTATAATATTATAAGTTTATAATATTTACCTTTTATTTTTATTATTATTTAATTAACATAGGAACATTTTTAATGTAAACATTAAATTTTTTTATTAACTTTATTATATGTAAAATGAATATGAAATTTATTTACTTAAAAACCTTTATATACTGCTTAAGGTTACGTTGTACTCCAATGCTTACTTAGGCTGGTGTAATTAGTCCCGTGTACATACACATTTTCTTAGTGTCCATTTACTTGAGTAAGATCAAGAGGGGAAGCCGGACCAGAGAAGCCTGCCTTCTTTGTCCGAAGCGTTAACGGAAACGGATACTCGTCAGGGTCTTCCTCCTCACTGGGTTGCATGCGTCAGCAGGGTTCCATTGCTCTTGAATATGTAGGCAACTTCATCGGCGCACTTACGGTAGTTTCCATGCCACATAGTCCTCCGTGCTCAGACCTTCTCTCCCTTCTTGCAGGCTGGCAAAGTCCCCCGGGGTCATCATACCGGCTCGATCACGGGGTGAACCTGGGACTGAGAACGGCCGAGAGATCTTCTGTTCGACTCCGGGTATGAAATCATCCTCTTCGTCGCCGGTGAAGGAAGTCGGGTACGCTCGCCGCAGCGCCAGCTGTCGGGCTTTGACGTATTCCATTCCCATCCGCTTCCAATCCAATAGATCGCTGAGTCTCTCGGTCCGATTTCGCTGGTTTATTCTCTGCCGCCTACTTTTTTGGCAGAAGTCAAACATGTGCGAAGTCAGTTGGTTAACCGAGTCGTCCACACCTTTTGAGCGTCGGTCTACAATGTAGATACCGTAGTCGCTCGAGTTCTCGATGAGCTCCTCCATGTAACAGCCGAAACCGGACAGATTGGTTGTGATGCTAGGGACGCCCATGACAGTGCACTCCGCCGGGGTATAGCCCCACGGTTCGTAGTAGGACGCGAAGACGCCCAGGTTCGTGCCGCGTACGAAATCGTCATAATCCAAAGGCAGAATGGGATTCGCCGAACTCAAGAACTCGGGGTGGAAGATTATCTTGACTCGATCTGTCGGGTGATTAAAGAGGTGCACCCTCCGCACCTGGTTTAAGATGGGGTCGTCGTGATCGTTGATCATGTTATGCGTGACGATTGGGGGTAAGCCGTGTCGCTTCATGGCAAAGAGACGACGGCGCAAGACAACCCTGTCGGCGCTTGTAATCAGCTCCTTTTCGTCGGGCATCGGGTCTCCGTCGTGCCACTTTAAAGATCGCTCAAAGATGCGGCGGCCAATCCCGCGCTCGATTACATCGACGGTGTCGCGAAGAGACTTGATGACAGCTTGGCCTTTCAATGCCTCGACTGTCAGCGAAGTGGTTTGCGCCGGCATGATGATGAAGGCTACGACCGTGGTCTTGCTTCCGGAGCTCTTTAGTCGGTGGTTAAGACGAGCGAGGGATTCGATGAACATGTCTACACCCTTGTTTCGAAACTCGTAACGGCCGGCAGTAAAGAAGTAGAGGGTGTCTTCGGGAACGAAATCGTAGTGTCCATAGAAATGGCCACGAACAAAGTCGTGGATCTTCTCCTTGGACTGCTGGTGCAGGTTCTGGAATTCGTGCATGGCAGAGAATTTAGTCACGTTAAGCCCGTTCGGTAGGACGCCGTCGGGCTTGCGCTTAAGCAGATGCTCACTCTCGAAGGCCGTGATATGAGAGACCGTCGTGAATACATCGCACGAGTGCGCTGCGGCACGCTCTATGCAATAGCGATGGTAAATGCCGCGCTTCCCCGCCTCGGCGTCGACGTCAAACCATTGAAGGTTATTGTAGAAGTCGACGGAGCCAGCGCAGAGGTAGCGGCCGAGCAAGGTCGCGTGGGTGGTAAAGACGGTGGTCACGTCGATGCGACGCTTCTTCGTTAACGGCAGAGCAACACCGGCGAGCCACTCGTGGAAATGAGCAATAACGGCTTTCTTCTTTTCGTGGCAGACATACTAGGCCAGAGTGTTAGTTGCCCGGGCCCGTCATACATGCGAGGGACATACCTCTCCGAGAAACCAGGCTACCAAGTATCCGAAGACGATTGCCTCGTTTGTTTCGTCGTCGCCGGGAGGGGACGGTATGCTGGCGACATTCCACAAATCTGATTTCCACTCATCCATATATCGGTACGCAGTCTTGGTGTCGATGAGTAATACCCGCGGCGCGCCTTCGATGAGCCATCGTCCGTAAAGGATGCCGATACCCCGGTTCCTCATGGCCTCGATGCTCTTGGCGAGCTCGGGGATGGTCGGCTCTAGTTCCTCGACTTCGACGGCGGCCTATGCTGGTTAGGACGGGATACGTAGATAAAAAGCGCCGTGGTTGGAAGAGCAACATACGGACTGATGGTTGAGAGGGCCGATGAGCGTGTACCGTTCGCCATATTCAGCAGTGGTGACGGGGGCCTTGGACTTGATGACGGAATAGATACCACCAACTAAGAGGAAGAGTCAGTGGAGGCAATGCTTGCGTCAGCTCTTGTCCAGAGCATACCGCGGTGCGCCACTTCGGTTGCAACTTCGAAGAGTACGTGATTCTTGACGTCGCGAGGGATCCTCTCCCCGCTTTCGCTGGCCATGGTTGACGGGAAAGGTAGCAGAGTAGGAATTGCACACTGGTGCAAAGCAAGGCGCAAAGCGACGAACCACCACGGTAGCGAGGCCAAGTGCCCAAACCGAGGCTAGAAGAAGCGAGTATTCCCCCTAGTTAGCTTAGTAGAAGAACCGAAGACCAGTCATATGGCACGGGATGGGGAGGAAAAAGAGTAGTAGTCCGGGGGAGTGGTGAGGGGGGGAGGTTGCGCCGCGGATTCCTGGCGGCACAGCCATCGTCGAGTAAGGTAGCCTTCCCCCCTCTGCCCCTTAATGATATTTTAAATAAAAAAAGAGGAACTGGGGGGGGGGGGGGGGGGGTTAGAGCAGCTCACCTGGAGAAACGATTTGGAGCCAAAGCAGCGCGAGAGTTTCCCGGACGTGTGTGAGCCGGAGCAACGGAGGCGGGGCTTACTTTGATCGAGAGAGCACGCGCGAGAGAGAGAGAGGGGGGGAGAGAGAGGACGAAAAACGAGGTCGAGGGAGATAGAGGGAGGGAGAGATAGAGAGAGGGACAATTGTGTAAGGTACGTATGTATGGGCGGATAAGGAGGGGTTGGTAGGTTATGGAATAATGGGTAGGCGGGCAGAGATACATATGTACCTACCTCCGGCGCACACTCACTGCCCATCGCATCCGCCGCCGGACGAGGGGAGGTGGAGCCCTATAGGATCTAGATCTCTAAGAAGCTCTCGGGTGCCCGATACAAGACTCTCGCGGAGCCTGTTCTATAGTGCCTGGGCATTGTTAGGCACTTGCATGGGCGTCGTCTCCCTGCCGCCGACGTCTGAACCGACAAGAAGCTCGGGACCTAACCCGACGATGTATGTATCGGATGCGCGACGATCTGGGTTAGAGGTAGGCACCTAACCCTAGGTCATATCAGGTACGTTAGGTGTGCATTGTTAGGTACATATGTGTGGTGGGATTAGGACCTAAGCCCTGCCGAGGGTGGGAATTGTCGGACTGGCTATGGTAGAATGCCTCTACTACGAACGGCCGCCTGTATCGGACTGTATGCACAATAAAAATACATCGACGCAAGCATCGTTATCTGAGGGCAACACATGGGCACCCATGCCTCTATTAACCCGTCAGTGCCTTAGGTACCTACGTTAGGTTCGGATCGAGAACCCGCCGCCTAACGCCCAAGGTTGCCTGGAGGGAGGAGGCGTGATATTAGTTATACCTACCCAACACGTGCCAACAGTGGTTTCCTGGTCGGTTGCGCATTTTGTATCTCTGTGATGTTACATGCAATAATAATAGGAGGAATAGTAATGATCTGCTGCTATAGCGCCCAAAACAGCCTAACCTGACGCCTGGCTACCTACCACCTAGTTAGAGAAGCAAGCCCTAGATACCTCGCACCTTTCGGTAAGACGGCGGGTTCATGGTTCTCCTAATCAACTTCCCAACGTATGGCGGGATCAGCGAGATGGCTCCGATGGCTAGCACGCGCCAGACGAAACCCCTGTGGTTGCATCTGTTAGTCTCGCGACGAGCGGCAGCGCTCTCGGCGTCGGCCAAGGAATGCGCACTTACCAGCTGATGATGAACTCGAGATCGAAGTAGCCGCCGAGAAATGGCATCGACCCGACGTAGAATAAGAAAGTTCCGATGATGCACAGAATCATCACCGGATGCCAAGTCGTGATTTCGATGGCGACCATGAGCAGTTCGTTCAGTACGAGAACCGTGTAGCTCACAGCTACCATCTTCCGACCGTCCACTTCGGTTAGAATTTGAGCCAAGCCCTGGATAATGCCGCCCTGATATACCGATACGAAGACCCAGATGAAGAAGGTGCGGTAGGACAGGGAGCGCCCAGAGGTTAACTCTTTGTACAACTCGGGATAGAGATTTGCCAAATTCTCGTCGACATCCTTGTCGAGGACGAGGGAGAACACAGGCGCGGCCGTGTAGACGGTCGCGTATCCCACCAGGAGCCAATCCTGGCGACGGTGGTAAGACAGTGAAACTACAGAGTGGACTAGTGAGCAACATACCTTGAACAGTCCTTCTGGCTCGAATTTTATAGCAATGCTGTACATGGTCTGGCACATGGCGATGATGAGTCCGCGATGGATGACGAACTGAGCAAGCTTAGCGCTTCGCTTGTAACTATTCCGACCGTGCCACACCAGGAGCTTGGTGAGGTGGCAGAATTGCTCGATGGAAAAGTCCGCTGCTAGGCTCGCCTGACGACCTTCCTTGCCAACGATGCCCACACCAACATCCGCAGCCTGTATCATCGACACGTCGTTTCCGCCGTCGCCAATGCAGCAGACTCGCTTCTTGGTGAACTCCTTAATCAGCTTCGCGATGTCTGCCTTCTGCGTGGGCGAGCACCTGCAAGCCACAACTGTTGGCAATCGTACAGCTGCGGAGATGAACTCGACTCCGAAGTACGTCAGAAAAAGGGACAAGCTCTCGCCATCGACGAGTAAGCAGGAGTCAGGTTTGCTTCTGAGAAAGTCCAGGTGTTCTCGAGCATTGTCCTTATGCTTCAGCTTCGAGACGGTGTAAATGTATTGGCCCCGCGAAACGAGTTTCGAGCTGACAGCCACGCATCTTGCCGTCTCGACCTTGTCGCCCGTCAACATCCAAATTTTAATACCGGCGTTGCGGAGAAGCTCAAGGGAAGGCTTTACATCCCTCTGTAGTCGGTCCTCTACCCCGGTGACTCCCAGCAGCTCGAGATCATGCTCAAGCAGCTCCGCGACCACGTCCTGCATACTGGCGTCACGCCTGTCAATCGCTAGAGAAGCCTCCTGATAGCTGGCGGAGAAGTCTTGATACTGTTCGTGGGATAACTTCTTACGCCCAACTACTAGAGTCCTTAGGCCCTCGCGAGCCATGTTTGCGGTCTCCTCTTCGAGCCAGTCATTCGCAGCGACGATAGGCCCCATTACTGTGTCGGCACCCTTCTGGTAGAACCATATTTCGCCGTTTTGCAGGCCGGATGGAGGGGTATGTAAGTGTTCGTGGAAGCAAACAACTATGCCCATTCGCTTCCCGTCAGAGGTGAAGGGGAAAATGTTCAATATCTGAACCCGCACGACCGCTTTCCCGGTCTCTGTTGATTCAAGGACGATTTCTTTTCGGTCTCGATACGCGAGGCGAAGGCCTACCGATTCAGTCCACCGGACAATGGCTATCTCGTCCGGGGAGGCGGCTTGGTACGAAATACGCACTTGCCCGTCCTCTTCATCCATAGTCGGAGTCACATTGTGACACAGAGCCAAAGCCAAAACTACATCCCTGACCCTCGATCCAATTTCTCGCCGGGTTCGAGTAACAGTAGCCCCGGCTGCCGGGATACACAAGGATGAGGGCGTGGCGAGCGCCGTACCATTCGTCGCGTTGGAGAAGCCATGCCTGACGTGTGCGACAACTTCGTCCATTGCTTCGTTGGCATAAGACACAGTTCCCACATGGATTTTCTTCATTTCCATCTCGTTCTGTGTTAGGGTGCCCGTCTTGTCGCTAAGTAAGTATTCGATGCGCCCGAGATCCTCCGGGATTGTGCTGGTTCGTACTACTGCGCCCGGAATGCCCGAGTCCCGTTGAATGAACCAGGAATATATACTCTTCCCGAGATCAAGATTGACCCGAAGACTAATCGGGACAATGGTAGAAAATAATACGAGGAATCGCATGATTTTCACATACCATATATTGCCTTCGGTGTTGCCGAATCCCTCCAGTGCCACGAGAACGACCGACAATGCTAGCGTTAATGCACAAAGTATTTTAGTTAGGGAGTTGATCTCATATTCTAGTAGCCCAGTTTTTGATCGTGACAATGAGGTGGAAAGAGCAGATCGAGTCTGTGGCCCTGTGTAAATGATAACAGCCATCGTGGTTGCGTGGGAGGCAATGATGGTGTTTGCCCAAGCGGTGTTGTCGATCGTCAAGGGGGCCGAGTGGTCCACACCACTTTCGCTGCTCTCGCCAGCGATATCGTTGAGATGGTGTGCCGTTGCCATGAGCTCAACCTTGCCAAGGAACTCATTAACCTTCTTATCCGGTTTCCCTCCTGTAACCCTAATACGCACGAACTCTTCCACGGGTAGGGTCTGAGTTAGGGCAGATGCCAGTCGAAGCTTCCAATCCGTCTCACCGTCGAGCTGATCTGTCCTGATGAATGTTTCCCCGAGTGACTTGCCCCCAGCCGTTTGTGTACCTCCCAGCTCGAGGCCTTTTCCCTTCTGGGACGATGAATCACACGGTTCTGCCAATAATGAACTCGGCCCTGTACCTCCGGCGGCCTGAGCTTGGCCATGTGCACCTTCAGGGGCGGAGCACTTCAGTATAATGACATCCGCGGGAACACGTTGTCCTTTGCTGAGCTTAAGAACATCGCCAACCTTAAGGTCCCGGGACTTCTTCCTGATTTCCCAGATGGTGGACGACGGATGGCCCCGCCGTTGGCTTTCTGCCTGGTCCTCCTCTTCCTGAACAGCCGACAATCGGTCTTTTTGAGCCACTGGTTGGCGCGGGATACTCTTCAAGGATAACTCGGAGTTCCGAGAGGGTGATAATGTGTGCTGGCGTCCAGGATCGCCAAAGTGAAGAACAACATATTCCTCAGAGTTTGCCTCGTTATCTCTTCGGCGTCGCTCTACATCGTCGTATGCCTCCTTGCCCATTGTGATCACGAGGACAAAGGCAAGCGGAATGACATAGGTAGACAAATAGCCTATCCTTAATGCCGGAATGACCTGTGATAAGGCGACCAGTAAAAAGTACAGATTGAAGAAGAAAGAAAATTCATTGTATAGCGTGATAGGGAGAAAGGTGAACGCCGTGTATTTTGCATTTGAGACGAGATTCGGTGGATACCGGGCAGATTGAGGTGAGCCAACAACGATTAGTCTCGACGTTGATAGATCATCCTCCTTGTCGTCGTCACCCCCATCGTCGCCGACTTTGCTGGCCTTCGTATTTAATATAAACTTGAAGAGCGAACCGATATAGGCTAGGTTCTGAAGCCTGTTGCTTGCGAAAGATCGCCGCCGGGAGTGAGGGGCATATTCATCCAGGAGAGGTTCTTCATCGCCGACACGATTACCTCCATCTCCATCGGAGTACTGCTCGTTCTGTGAATCCTCCAAGAGCCTTCTAGTATCCCCGTGTCCGTCTCTATTGTGACCGAGCTCTCCATAGCCGCGATATCGATTCCCTGGTCGCCTCAGGCCTCCCATGCGAATATTCCGTAATGCAATCCGTGGTGGTTGATGATCGGAGCTGGAATTATGCCCTAACAGCCGCGTGGTTTGGACATGTGACGAACCAGTAGGGTCGAGCTCGTCAAGGTTCAGGTCAACATCGGAATCTGAATTATTGACCGGAGAGTCTGGCGGCTGGGTAGGATGGTATGAGGTCAACGGCGGCATTCCTGTATCGGTATCATGTCCTAAGGACGAGGAGCCACTTTGGAGGTGTAGATTGGTCCAAGAAGATATTAATTGAGGACTGGTCAATTATAGGTTCCAACTAGAAAAACATTAAAGAAAACTACATGAAATAAAATTATATATATTTCTCATTATATAATATAATATAGTATTTAATAGAAAAATACTTTTCATCAGATATTATTTATACTAATCAATTAAAATAAAGAAATTTAAATTATCACTTTTACTAAAACACAACTGCATTTGTATTTTTACGCATCTTATATGTATTACATAACAACACCAGCTGAAGGCTAGGTTACTTTGTTACCCCAATCGCAGGTGCTACCTTATGCGAGCTGTTGGCGGATTTACCTACCTAGCTCATCGAGAGGCAGATCTGCTTCATCTTTGCCGACGATGGAGTCTGCAACTTTCCATATCTGCACCATATTATCCTCTGCAGCGCTTGCCATAAGCCAGGGATCATTTAAATTCCAGCTGAAGTCTGCCAAGTGGTTGGTGTGCCCACCATGCATAAACAACCTGAGAGTGTTAGCTAGTGATTTCATGCAACAGTGAGAAACGTACAGCTCTGGAGGTCCGTCCTCCTGATCATCAGGTTGCTGTTCCTCGCCAACCCTGCTCAAGTCCCAAAAAACGATACGGCGATCGTAGCTAGCGCTACCGAGAACACCAGCTTCATGAGGGTGCCAAGAAAGAGATGTCACAGCGTCCTGGTGGCCTTCCAGTGTATGGACTTTCTCTTTCACATTACGCAGATCCCAAATACCAATCGTTTTATCCGCAGAGGCAGTGGCGACAAGAACTTCTGTGGACGGATTAAAGGCCAGAGAATTGATAGCATCGCTATGGCCATCCTTGGCGATTAAAGATGACTGAGAGTTTGACGGCTGTCTCACATCCACAATTTGAAGTGTGAGGTCATCGGACACGCTGCCAACGAAGCTCTTGGAAATGGGATGGAATTGAACATCGTTCACAATGTTGCTGTGGTTTGTGAAGCGGCGAATAGGGCTGAGAATATTGCCGTTATTTTGGAGAGACTTGAGATCCCTACCCCATTCCGTTAGCCAAGGTGTTGCTCGTGGTAAATGAAGCGAGGGGGCCTACCAGAGGCATATGGTCTGATCCTCGCTCCCTGATACCAGAGCGCCTTCGTTATGCAAGCTCCAGTTGAGGCCAAACCCCTCTTGTTGATGACCTTCAAGACTAACTTGAGGGTTTACCTTGCCGTTCGGTTCGAAGCTATGCTTAGTTCGATCGAAGATGAGGATTCGGCCATCGATCGCAAGCGTTGCGATAAGATCGGGATTCTGTGGGCAATACCGTGCTTTGTTTACCTCACCAGGGTGGTCGATTCTCTGGACAATGTTCCAATTCATAGATACCGTCCCAGTAGTAGCTGCTGATTTTCCATGGCTGCCAATCTCGCCGCGCTCGTCGTCATAGTCGTTTGCGTTCGGGTAGACAGACTTAGGGATCTCGACCTCAGCAATTTGTACGTGGTTTGGCTTGCCTTCCGAAGTATGTGTTCCGATTAGAAGACGGTGAACGCGGCAGTTCTTGCCATCTGGCTCCTTCACATCGGGAAACCACTGAACCGTCAGAGTAGGCCATGTGAGAGCGGTGCTATATTTTGTGAATACCACGTAAGCATAACCATCAACTTAGACTTACCTCAAGATCATGTCATAGAGGAAGGGAGAATTCTTCTTCCATGTCTTGTACTCTAGTCGTTGTTAGCCAACACCTTAGGCCTAAGGACACGGGTCCTAGTGTATAGATATTACCTTCGTTAATAAGCCTTTGCTCTTCATCCTCATCGTATTCCTGAACACCTGCGTCCACTAGCATTTCAGTGTTAGCATATTGTAGAGTGATAACGATGTTAGCTTAGTACGAACTCTCGACGTCGTCAGCCACAGGGGCCGGGGCCATGCTGAATTGTGTTTTGGTCTCTATATGGTGTAGCATTTAATAACACAAAGAATCTAAAGAAGGCGTTGTAAAGTTTTTTAGTTTAAGAAGTACGAAGGTAGATAGCGAGGCGTAATATAATAAAAGTTAGGATTATTATTAATCTACTTTAGATACTAATAAAAAATAATTATATTAAATTATATAACTTAATAATAATAATAATAATAATAATAATAATAATAATAATAATAATAATAATAATAATAATAATAATAATAATAATAATAATAATAATAATAATAATAATAATAATAATAATAATAATAATAATAATAATAATAATAATAATAATAATAATAATAATAATAATAATAATAATAATAATAATAATAATAATAATAATAATAATAATAATAATAATAATAATAATAATAATAATAATAATAATAATAATAATAATAATAATAATAATAATAATAATAATAATAATAATTATTATTATTATTATTATTATTATTATTTCTTTATTATATCTTTATCTAAGATCTCGGTACATGTAAGAACCCGCGATTTTTATCGCTTATTACTATTAAACCTTCTCCTTAAGATACTAGTAGAACTACGCGGCATTTCAGCGTTATCCTTCGCGTTCGGATGATCAGACAACCCTGCACATAATTCATCGACGACATCAACTCGTGGACATGGGGTGCGTTGACATTCTCAGGGTCCGTATTCATGAGATACTGACCTTGGAACAGTGTGCCCAAGTTCTTCAGATGGCTCTCAGAGCGATACCCAGCAATATCCCAGCTTATTGCAGAGAATCGAATCCCCGAGTTCGACAACCTTTACGTACGACTTCCCACGAAACCCTACGTCGTCATCCCTTGCTGACGTAGTAACATTAGTTGGACATGAACGGTATCATACACAATTGTACCCACAAAGACACGCATGATACCACATTCCGCCTTAGTGAAGATGAAATGTTCAGACGCATATTCAACTACATAGAGCACCTCTTCGGGAAAATCAAGCCGAAGAAATTGTTCTTCATGGCCATTGATGGAGTCGCCCCGAGAGCCAAAATGAACCAGCAGAGGGCACGTCGTTTTCGAACAGCCTTGGATGCGGAACAAGCGCGCGAGAAGGCAATCCGTGAAGGTCAAACATTGCCCAAAGAAGATCCTTTCGACAGCAACTGCATAACACCAGGTACGGAATTCATGGCCAAGCTGACGCAGCAGCTCAAATATTTCATCAGCAAAAAAATATCCGAAGACTCAGATTGGCAGGTTTGTGACATCGTTCTATCTGGCCACGAAGTTCCCGGGGAAGGCGAGCACAAGATTATGGAATACATAAGAAATGCAAAGGCTCAACAGGATTACCACCCCAACATGCGCCATTGTTTGTATGGACTGGATGCCGACCTGATCATGCTCGGCCTGTCAAGCCACGATCCTCACTTCTGCTTACTTCGAGAAGAGGTAACTTTCGGTCGCGCCTCCAAAACGAAATCGAAAGAATTAGAGCATCAGAGCTTTTATTTGATGCACCTTTGCATGGTCCGCGAATATCTCGAGCTCGAGTTCCAGGACTTAAAGAAGGAAGGGACTATAAAGGTGCCCTTCGATATGGAGAGAATCATAGACGATTTCATTCTCATGGCATTCTTTGTTGGCAACGACTTTCTCCCAAATCTACCCAACCTTCACATCAATGAGGGGGCTTTGGCAACAATGTTCCGTATCTATAAACAGGTCCTGCCCGCGTGTGATGGTTATATCAACGAAGGAGGGGTTATCAACCTTGGCCGTTTAAGGCTGCTACTCGAAGAACTTTCCAAGGAAGAATATCGATATTTCGAGCACGAGCATGCTGATTCCAAGTGGCTGAAGAGCAAGCAGTTAGCGGAAGTTCGTAATGATGAGCCCACGAAACCAAGAAGGGGTCTTGTCATGACAAGCTCTCAGAATAAGCTATGGAAGAAGATACGGATGCTCGTAAATAAGCGGCCGAGTGCCCCTCTCGATCTCGGTTACGACGTTACCGCTGCTGATCGAAAATTCGTCCAAGACGTCGCTGATAACCTTCATATTCAGTGGCGTACCATCGAAGACGCTGATGGACGACGTCATCTGTGGGTGATAGTCCCCGCCGATCAGGGTGGCGACGAAAACGGAGACGAGGAAGAAGAAGAAAGCCATATTGCCGTGCTTCGTGTGGTGAAGCGATACGACCAGGCTCAGATTGTTGACTTCTCCGCCGAGGAAGCCCAGGCAGCCTCGCAGACCAGATACAGGCAGAAATTCCTAGAATGGAAAGACAATTACTACAATAGCAAATTCGGGTGGGCTCCCGAAGCCAGAGATATAGAACTGACGAAGCTTTGTGAGAATTATATCCAGGGGCTCCAATGGGTATTACACTACTATTACAAAGGGGTGGCGTCTTGGCCGTGGTTCTATGGCTATCACTACTCCCCTATGATATCTGGTAAGTCTTGACACACCGTGTTGGGGCCATTGCGGCGCGTTGCTAACCAAATTAGACGTAATGAAAGGGATCAATGCAGATCTCAACTTCAAGCTCGGTCAACCATTCCGACCGTTTGAGCAGCTTATGGGCGTCCTCCCCGACAGAAGCAAAAAAATTGTTCCTTCTGTGTATCATGAACTCATGACAGATCCGAAGTCGCCAATTATCGATTTCTACCCCAGGGACTTCGAATTAGACATGAATGGTAAGAAGATGGAATGGGAGGCTGTCGTTAAGATTCCATTCATCGACGAGGATCGATTGCTATCTGCAATGGCGCCTAAGAATGAACTACTCACACTACAGGAGAAAGCTCGTAACGATTTCGGCGTTTCACTAAAGTTTACCTACGACGCGCATATCGACTTCACTTACCCGTCCTCCATGGCTGGGATCTTCCCAGATGTGGTACATTGCCACTGTGTCGAGAATATCTTTGATTTCCCCACAACCGAGGGGCGGGAGCTCCACGTTGGCTTGCTGGATGGTACCAAGCTCGGCGTCGATGCCCTGGCGGGGTTCCCGAGCCTCGCTACGTTGCCCTATATTGCCAACCTAGGCTTCCATGGTATCAACGTCTTCCAGCAAGAAAGTCGAAACGAGAGTATGGTCATAACCCTTGCCGACGTAGGACTTCGAAGCAGTGTGGAGCTGGCGAGGGCCAAACTGGGACAAAAATGTCATGTTGGATACCCCTTCTTGCAAGAGGCTAAAATAACGCGCGTGTCGGACGAATTGTTCGATTACACTCTCGCTGGCGATGGCCCTAACCGTGAGATCCAAACTCACCATTCGGCGAGGGATATTGAAGGGTGGAATAAGAAGGCATCCCACATCGAAAAATTCTACGGAAAACGACTCGGTATCACCATTGGCACCGTTGAATGCATCATCCATGTTGAGATGCTGAAGGGACTCGTTAAGACGGACGAGGGCGCCACCATTAAAGAATATGGGTCCATACCAGGCATGGAAACGGATTACGCGGCGCAAGTCGTCGTGGACGAGGTCATCAGCGAAGACGAAAGATTTCTCGAACGAGCTGCGCCCCCGCTAGAGGAAGAATTTCCTGTAGGGTCCCATGCTTTCTTCCTAGGGGCTTATGCATATGGACGACCCTTAGAGATCTCTGGCCACAACAACAACCAAGCTGAGGTCACATTATCATATATCCGGGAATCGGAGTTTGCGACACCAATTATCCATCGTGCCGAACAACAAAATCACTACCGGCCCTCATACACTGTAGCAAAAGACCTGGGACTCCACCCCCTTATATTGAGTAAGATTACTTCCTCTTTCTATATCCACACGATAGGAGGAAGCATGAAGGTCAATCTCGGGCTCAACCTTAAATTTGAAGGAAGGAAGCAGAAAGTTTTAGGGTACTCAAGAAAATCGAACTCGGGGTGGGAGTTCAGTCCTGCTGCGGTTCGGCTACTCACAGCTTATATGACCTCATTCCCGGATTTCTTCGCGGCCATCATGCGTAACCCCTCGGGGGCCGAACTCGACGAGACGCAACTCTGGCCCGATAGCAAGATTGCCAGTGATAGAATCAAGGAGATTGGTGCGTGGCTCAGGACTGTGGAGACGAGCAAATTCGAAAGGGTTCCGCTCGATGCTGAGCAGTTGGACTCCAATGTCGTTATGGAACTGCAAGGAGAAGTAGACAGGCTAATTAAGTCTTGTCCGAAACACCAACGAAAGAGACTGAAAGGAGTTCCCCGATCCGCCTTACTGAACCCGAAAGATGCCGAGCAGCGACTTGGTAACCAAAAGTTCAGTTTGGGTGACCGAGTCGTCTATGCGCAGGCCTCGGGGAAAATACCTATCGCTTCGAGGGGAACGGTTGTCGGCATAAACATAGTCGGCAATCACCGCATGCTCGATATCCTTTGCGATGACGCATTCATCAACGGTACAACTTTAGGTGGCCGATGCAATCCGTTCCGAGGGCAAACGGTTTCAGCCGCCTCGGTACTCAATGTGACGGACAAGCAACTTATTACAGATTCCAAGATGAGCCTAGAGAGACAACCCGTTCGAAAAACACTGCCTCTACGCTCTAACGAATCTACACGCCCGGGTCTAGGCCAGCTCCGAGATGCATCAACACCGGCTTCTCTACAAGGGAGTTGGCGAAGTGCTGTCGTGGGCACTGGTCGGCATTCATCCCAAGGACGGGGCCTTCATAACCAAGCATCCGGCCTTGTTCCTCAGGTTCGCCATAGTAGCGCTGTATATCATCCCCCAGCGCCAAACAACCATAGGCCGCAGATACACAACCGCAATACGACGCAACTAGTCGCTGGCAATCCTTGGCGCGGGCGTGGTGGATCGTATCGAGCGGGTCGAGGGAATCGTGGTGGTAGGGGTGTTTCGCTTAACTTAGGTAGCGATCAGACACAGCCAAAGCCAAATCTCGATAGTCGAGTGGTGTCGGAAGCTACTGAGGCTCCTCAGAATCCGGCCTACAGTCCCATGCTGCCACCGACTGTAGAGGACACTCGCAGCAGCAGGGGCCGTGTACGTGGGAGAGGGTCTCGTGGTACGTCAATTGTACACTAGAAGGGGGTTTAAAGAATCCGGCCAGTTACCTTAGGTGGTTACAGGTTGTGAAGGAGGTCGGGATAGAGTCTACCATGTACATCCTTAATCGTTCGATACAATCGCCGGTCGGTATAAACTCTTAATATCCTCGAGCCAGTATAGAGCAAGAACTTATTGAATCAGCGAGCCGGATTAAAGACGCGCTGCTAAAAGGGATGACTGCTACACCAATATATTAACGATCCTTATGAAGCGGTTCTCCTCGGCAGCACTATAGGTCTCTTTAAATACCGCAACCTTTGACATCCACCCACCCTCTACTATCAACAGCGTATCTATCTCGTCACTCCCCTAAACCTAACAGTCGCCTGGAGCCTTTTCGAAAATCAAAGTCGGATTACCCGGCAGCACCAACGTCTCGATAATAAAATGGCATAATCATACATAGGACCTGCACTGGTATATATGGGCGTCCGCAATCTTCATCGAACCGGCGTCTGTCCTGGCTAGCCAGGAGCCTGGAGTCGGGAGGACCAGCGCATTAACAGCTACAGTGTACTGTGAGTGGTTTTCTACTTAACCCCCGTCCGTGAGATGGCTGACCAAGAGGTGTATTTTCATTTTGTGCAAGCCATCTATACAACCAAATTCATATTAACAACTACCGACGATCGCCCTCCTCGGCGCCCCGTGGTTGCCCTTAATGACTAGGGATTTTCTCGCGATGATAGTAGGGGGAATGAAAATGTACCGACGACATGGAAAAAGGCGCGAAGGGAAAAAATAACAAGACAAATAGCATGACAACAATGGAATTGAGATACAAGAACTTCTGGGGAATAAGTCTGGAGCTTGAGAAATGAGGCCAGGTATACCATTTACACTCCCTGCGCTATGCACCTCCATTCAAATCCCACCTGACTACACATAGCCATTCATTTGTACAAGTTCGTCCGTCCACCATGGCCAGAACGTTCAATGTATATCGGGCAATAATGTCGAGAGAGGATTCGTAGTAAAGAGTCCACCAGTACCAACCAACCAGTCCTAGATGTCCGTTCTAGAAATTGGTCCCTTTTTTTTCTTTCCCAGCTTCCTCGAACATTCCCGCGCAGTTTTTTATCCCTTCTGTGAAAGAGGTCCCGTGCAACACCCCGCTAATCCTTAGGTATCCTCGACTCCTTATACCGTCCCTCAAAGGCGAGCGCACGCCTTTGACAGTGCCATGTTACGTCCAGAGAAGTACCACCAATGTTGATATTCGTCGATAATCTACATCCCACTGAACACTCCAAATACGTCCCTAGGTCGGTGATGATCAAATCGGATACTGAACACTCAGTACAAATGTCGGAGAGGGCTCGCGATTAGGCCGGAGACTTGCTAGGAGGCGCGCCAGCACCGTTCTGACGAGTGTCGCTGCCACTGACGGACAGGCCTCCAATGCCTGAAGATAGGAAGGCAAACGGGTCATTTTCTGACTGTGACGAATAGAAATTGTTGGATGGGCCAGCAGAGGCGGGGCCATTGCTGGCGGATTGAAAAGCAGCCTCAGCAGCTCGGCTATCGAACGGACCGGCCGAGTGAGAGCCGGGGGCAGGTCCAAAGTGAGCATTAATGGACGGATACGGAGCCGCACCTCCGCCAATTCCTGAGGGTAAGGCATACGTGCTAGGTGGTCCCCCGAAATGGTGGCCATAACCGCCGGACGCTCCAAAGGGCCCGGCTGCGGATGCGAACGGCCCTGGACCCGGGGTTCCGGCCATAGAACCGGAGCCTATACCATAACTGGACCCGCTATCCATTGGTGAAGGATACCCCGAGTCGGCAACGACCGCGGCACCAGCGCGGCTGGCACCGCACCGAAGGCAACAGACATTTTTGGCAAAGTTATGGTAACCACATACTTCGTTGCCACATTTCCAGTCACCAGCTCGAAAAGGCACGACACCACTACCACCCATGCGACCCCCGCCATGCCCCATGTTGCCATGATGGCCACCGTGATGTGGTGGGGGTATCATGGCCGGTGGCCCGTACCCATAGCCGTATCCCATATCACCCTGCGGCCCGGCGCTGACTGCTGGAAAGGAGCATCGAAAGCAGGCTGTTCGTCGTTGGAAATTTGAAAAGCCACACGAGGGACACGTCCAGTCGCCAGGGCGCGGGCGGTTCTTGCTCGGGGGAAATGGGGTCAGGATTTCGGCAGCACGGTCGAGGACTCGGCTAGAAGACGGCGAGACCTCAATAGCTTTCTCGTTTAAGGCACGTCCATTCATGCAGAGACTTTCGGCAGCCTAAATAGGTATCAACGTTCAGTGTCCGGAATAAAGCAACATGGCAATGACGACCCGAAGCAATCCATATACCGATTTAACAAGGCGAGGGACCAGGCACAAAAGCAGCCCCAGACGGAAGCCAGAGGTTGTCTCGGCCTAGAGAGATCTGCACGTACCTCTTCATGGGATGAAAATACGGCAAAGCCGGTACCTGTCGGCTTGTGTTGTTCCGGAGTGCGCAAGGTCCAGAAAGCAATCGGGCGGCCACCAAATTGTGTGAACCAGCTCTCAAGCTCGGACTGAGTGGTGTCATGAGGTAGGCCGGACATGTGTAGCACCTTGCTTCGCTCGGAGAGAAAAGCGCGCACGTCAGCGCGGGCATCCATGGGGCGCGTTAGCACGTCCGGATGTTCTTGGGGCGGTTGGGATTTCCTAATCAAACCGCGAAGAACTCTAGCGAGGGTTACAGCTTCCTCCATGGCACGTCGAGGTGAGGCCGGCGCAAGAGCCTGCAGGTGAAAGGGCAGGTTGTGCTTGATCGGGGCGCTCGATTGAACAGGCTCGACTTCGAGGGCGGCGCAGATGTTCGAGAGCATTGAGGGCCCAAAAGGGAGTGACTCGGGGTGGTGCTGTTGCCAGCGTTGGTACTCGGTACGAAGGTCGAACGTTCTCGAGTGTTGGAGGTAGGGCGGGAGCACGACAGCCTTATCTCGCGCTTCTCGAGGAAGCTGAACACGAAGGTCCCAAGCATCCAGGGTGACGAAAACAAAATCGAGATTTTGTGAGGTTAGATGCTCAGAAGCAAAAGCATCAAACCGGTTGACCGCATCTCGGAAAGTTCCAGCATTTCGAACGTGTTCCCATGTAAGAGTCGTCAGGCTAGCTACAAGCACGGGGGGCATACGTTAGCTCCAAGGGGCCTGTAGTGTTGATTCCCGTCGATGACTAAGTGGCCATCCTCATCACCATTACCCGTACTGACGACTTACTACATAAAGGGGTGATTGGTGTGTTGATTGGCTTCACCAGAACGCTTTCGCGGTGGATCTAACGTCGAGGGAGAAAAGGACCGTCAGCATACGGTAGTTCCGGTAACAAAGCTACAAGTTGCATCATTCCCACTGTTCGTGTTTCCATACCTCTTCGAGCGACTTGGCGTCTAGGAGAATCCAGCCGAGTTCAATTACCTCGGCAGAGTCCTTCGTTACGTAGACACCGTGTTCATCGCAGGTGGTAGCAACGTGGATGACGACGTAACGATCGATGTGAGGAGGAGGAGACTGCTGGTTCGACATATTGCGATCAAGGATGTGCTATACGGCGTGGAAGACGATACGAAACGAGAATTACGATCCGACGCGAATTGGCTCGGTGTAGCTTCGAGATTAGGGGGGGGGGGGGTTCCGTATGGTTGGGGCGGCTGTACAGGTTTGAGTATAATAAAAAAAGGGGAGGGGGAAGGGGAAGGGGGGGGTTGGCTAGAACAGTTGTTAAAATCGAGTGTCATAAATGTGGGATCGAGAAATTAAGAGGGCGGTGGCTAGCCGAACGACTACTGCTGCAACGAGCGACTGAAGATCCAGTTGACGTTCAATGCGTAGGATCAAGAAAGAGAAGCAGAAAACAGACCACGAGCTGAGCTCAAGCAGATAAGGGAGACCCCAGAGGTAGGCGCAATAGGTGGATTCCAACCAGAGTCAAGATGGAGCCGATCCGATCCCAACAGCTCCTCGTAGTGCGGTGCCGATAAAGGATCGGTAAGAGAAAAAAAATATATATCGAGGGAGACGGAAAGAGAAAAGAAGAGGGAATGAATAAATGAAAGAACAAGCTAAAGTAAAAATAAAAGTAAGTAATAAATAACTTTTCTAAATATTTAAAAACATAAAATTTTCTTTAAATTAAAATGTAAAAATCTTTATGATATACTTAGTACTTATATATAAAGCTACCTATATATAGTGTTAATAACTATAATTAATATTAATAATATGAATAAGATTAATGGATTAATAGCTATTAAGAACTGATAATTTTAAAGAAATTAGAAATTAGTATTAATAAGACTACGTAAATATAAAGAATCAAGGAAATAGAACTAGAGTCGAATTAATAAGTATACCTATTGAGAAGAAGCAGAGCGTACGCGATACTGGAGTCCCGGATAAGCTTATTTGAAAGTATACTTTATCGAAGACTATAATACGTATAATGGTCTAAGGTAAATGAAACTAATATCGTTATATTAATTAAGAAACGAGGAATTTAATATAGTTATCGTATCTTAGGTATACTCCTTAGTCGTAGAGATGTAATAGTCGCTAACTCGAAGGTATAAAAGGTAAGAAAAGAAAAGTAGCTAAACGTAAAAGTCATTTATTTGGTTATAGCGGTACGACGAAATAACTTAAGCGTTCGTAACTAAAATAAATATGCTAATCAGAAAACGACGAATTTAATAATAATAAAAAATTTTAATTAAAGTAAAATTAATAAAGATAGTAATTTAATTAAGTAATAAATTAAATAATAAGTATGTTATAGCCTATACTTACGTGAGCTATAGGTACTCTATATAGGTATAAGGCCTATCGTAATATATTACGTAATATATCAAGAGGGCATGTCTTACCGCACTACTACACTATATATAAATTAACCTTATATTACTAATTAACATTTAATATAACGAGAAATATTAATATAAGTATAAAGCGGCGCCTAACGGTAATACCGTTAATACTATTAAATAACTTCTATTAAATCGAGACCGGCCTGTGACTATAACCGGTATCGTATTTAACGCGATCCTTTACTTAGGATTTATTCCTTATACGTATTACTTTAACGAAGGTTATATGTTAGGAGTTTTAAACCTCAGTGAAAGGGATTATCGTCGACTTATTTATAATAATTAAAACTTTAGTATAAGGAATACGCCTCGTACTTTAATTAAGCGTTAGCTGATTAGAAAAGCTCGTATAATACCCGGACTTTATTGATTAAGATAGTATAATAAATAGCAATATATTTATATTAAGAGAAAAGTATTAGGATATAAATAATAATTATTTTACTTTTACCCTTATATTAGATAATAAGATCTTTATTATTTCTCTTTCTACTTTCTACTTCGTATCGTTAGATTAAATGGAATTTACAGCTAGAAAACGGAATAAATCGCTATCGGCCTCCAAAATAGTAAAGATAAATTATTAGTAAAGACCTTACGAATCGATATTAGCTTTCCGTTCTTATAGCCGCCCGAAGAGAAGGGGGACGACGATAAAACTCCTATTTAACTATCCCTTACCCGTAGCTTTATACTTATCCCGATAATTCCTATAGTATTATCTTAAAATAATAATAACGGGTCCTTTAGTAGTTAGAATATACCGGTAACTATCCTGATTATCGTAATATTAACCATTAGATGCCTAAACCCTACCGATTATCCTAGGCTTAAGTTTAATAAACGTAACATAACTTAATAATTAGAGAGAGTAGATCGACTATTTAACCGCTACCGTATAAACGACGACGATAAAATTAAGAAGATCGAAGAATAAATTACGATTAATATTATTAAGAAGCGTATTAATAACGTTGTAAAGAATTAAACGATATAGAGAGTTATCATTATAGCCCTAAAGTATCGTTTTAGGATTACCGATAAACTAAGTTAAATTAACATTAAACGAAAACTCGTAACGTTAGAACGAGGTAACGTAATTCATAATCTTGAGGCGATTTTTACCTATCTCATAAACTATAAACGTCTTTCTAAGCTCGTAAACGACGACGGGGAGCTTCTCTAGAAAGTAAGACGCTTGACTGATAAATTCCTTATATTTGTAATTATAAAGTTCTATAAGATACGAAATTATAATTATAATAAGATTAGAGATATCGATTAAATACCTTTATAGAAACCGTTAACTTTAACTCGGCCCGGATAATAATCCCTTTCGTTATCAACGTAAGAAACGATACGCTACTAAGCCTTATATTTAGTGATTAAGAAAACTAAATACTATTAATACCTTAAGCCGTTTTAATAACGTATATAGGCCTAAAAACGCGTTCCTAGTCGAGTATTTAAAAGCCGACGTTAATTTTCAAGTTAAAATTAACTATATCTGCTTTTACGACAACGATATAGAGGTAGTATCTATCTTCGAAACTAAGGACTTATTAATCCTCGAACTTAGTCTCGATAAAGGAGATATGGCAATCGTTAGATTAAGCGACGAGAAGTTCCTTTACGTTTTTAGTAAAGCCGTTATGAAGATAATTCGATATACGACGTAAGAATCGAAATAATATAAATAAAACCTAACCTTTATTTTGGAATTAATTTATTAAATTAAACATACGTTTTTATTAATACTATATATAAACCGAAGTCGCATAAAGTTTAATACATAGATAACGTACCGTTAAACGGCTAAATACCGTTAGGAATATTAAATTAAAAGGATTAAATATTAAGAGAGGTTGAGTCGAAGTACGAGCCGTTAGATATATTATAACGCGATAAACCCTATAAGAATATTATATTAAGATTCGTTAGTAACTCTCGAAGTACTAGATTAATAACGGAAAGGCTTAACGTTATTTATATAGGTTTATTAAATACGGAATTAACTGATTAAGAGAAAGACGTATTTATTAAGATCTTATACTAAAAAGAGATATCCTTAACTTAGGATTTCTTTAAAATCGGAAAAATCTAACTTAAGGTTTACTCCGATTATGTAATGAGCTGCGCCTAGTCATAGAACCCTAGTTGGTATAGCACCAGGGTACTGTAGTGGTGCGGTGGATCTAGGCCACGTAGCCTTTTCGATATCTATTTATATGGGTCGCGTACTCATATTTTCATTAGTTAGACTTAGACCTATAGCTATCACAGCCTATAGCTATTTACTCGTTTCTTATCATGCCTTTCTAGCTATCCTCGTTACCCTTTTCTAGATCCCTTTCCCAACTGCCGTTTTCAGCTAGCCGATCAACCGATTACAGCTATTTACAGCTGTAATCTTGGTTAATCGGCACTAGGCCAGTTGTTAGCAGTTGGATAGCCCTTGTTTCGTGCCTCCGTTAGCGTGCCTACGCTGCTCCTATTCAGTACGTAACCGCTCCTCCCGTATATAACCAGCTCCTAAAGGCGCGGCCTTAGTAAAGCGTACCTTTTTTTCTTTTCCTCCTCGTATAGCTTTATTCCTTTAATTTATATCCTTTTACCTAGCGAATAGCTCTTAAAACCGTAATAAAAAACTATACTATCTTCTCCGTAAGGTTAGTACTTAAATATCCGATATCCGACTTCTAGATAACGGAAGATAAGTCTAAGGCCTAGGCGTAATCGAGCGCTTAAGAGGCGACGCTAGCTTATTACGTATTATTATAAGACCTTTATTTCTTAAATTCCATAAGAAAATATATAACCGATTTCCTACGAAGTAATTCCTTAATATCCGTACTACCGGTACTCGTACCCGTACCTAAGGTTATAGTTACCTTACTTACGGACGTAAACGGAACTTAACGAAAACCTCTTAAGTAGTACGAATAAGACGGGAAGGTTATATCGTTTTACTTCTACTTAGAAAAGCTATAGGCGAAAATCCTAATCGACGCTCTAGACGGCTTATTCGATAATAATAACGCGATATGGTACTTTATTTTCGGTACGATACCCGAGGATCGGTAGCGGAAAATAAAATACTTCTAGAAATCCGGCGGTCTAGGGAACGGATTTTAACCTAAAGACTTACTAAGATATATAAAAGAAACGTTCGATAATATTTAGGTTAAGGAGGACGCGTAATAAAAACTATAGAAACTACGGTAGAAAGAGAAGGAAACCTTCGAGAGCTTCTTATCCGACTTCGAAGAGGTCTTAATAAACGCTAGAGGCTTTAGCTAGGATAACGATAATAAGCTAACGTAATTAAAAGTAATACTATCTAACTATTTTTAAAATATATTAATTCCGATTTAAATATCTTAAGATTACGATATTTTTATCGCTTAAATTTACTTAATCGCGCTACGAATAAACTACCGAATTTAAGCGGCTCGCGAGGGAGTTAGGCGAAAATAAGCGCTACTTAACGACCCCGAGCTACGAATTAATATCCGTTACCTAACGCTCGGACTGCGCTCGGATAAATACTTAAGGCGATACGATTATAATAGGCTTTATTAAATCGTAAGGGAGGCTCCGTTAAGCTTACGGCGGGTCTAATAACGGATATAATAATAATATCCGACGGATAAGGTAGGTACCTTAAGAGGAATACGAAAAAAGAAAGGTCTAGGATAGTTACTTCCGCTACGGCGCTAGCTAGTACTAGGTTAAGGACTACCCCTACCTACCGGTTACTCGCCCGAGTAGTTAAAGGCGGTTCCCGTTCGTACCGGTACGAATAACGTAAGTTATTAAATTATTACTAAAAGAAT